TATTCAGTATCGGCGAGTAACGGAAAAACAATATCGGTAGTCGTACTCAATACCGAAAAACTGGTATCGGTGCATCCCTGGCTTAAACTACTGAGCTCTGTGAACACCAGGCTTGTTTTACCACAAAAGGAGCAAAAGGACATACTGTAGAGCAGTGGTGGCGAACTTATGGCACGCGTGCCAGGGAGGGCACGCGGGGCCCTCTCTGCTGGCACGCGAGCCCAGGTTCAGGGACCAGCAATGGAAACAGATCGGACCAACCCAGATCGCCTAAGTACGCGATCCGGGCCAGTCACAATCAGGCAGCGACTACAGAGGCGATCCGGGACGTTCTGATCCCCCTTGAGAGCGGCACAGCCTTTCCCCCTCCCGAGAGCAAAACAACCTTCCCCTCCCCCTGGGAGCCGCACAGCCCCCCTGACCCCCCCAATCATGAGAGATGCAGAGATGAGACCCCAAAACAGGTAAGCAGGAAAGGGGGCAATGTTTTATTTATTCATTTTTATTAGTAGTTCTGTGTGTGTGTAATGTGTGTGTTTTAATAAGTGTGTGATGTGTGTGTTTCATTACGTGTGTATGTGTATGTGTTTTATTAAGTTTATAAATGTTTGAATATGCGTGTTTCCCTATTTTGCCTAAGGCCCCATTAACACTGTGCGTAAAATCCCGCTATTTCGTGCATTATCGCGAGAAGTCGCCGGCCAATGTTATTCAATGGAGCTGTTCTAATGTACAGCTCCATGTCAGGACCCTTTTTCCCACTTTTTTTCTATTTTTGAATGCAGCCCGTTGAAGATCGCACGATCCATGCTGGAACATCGACCCGAACAGTCGCGCTATCCCAGCCCCACTTGTAAGGTATGTCGCTTGGTGTGAATTGGGGCCTAAGGCAGTGATGTTGAACATTTCTTAAACCCGACCCATCCCGGTTGATCACAGCTTGACAAAGAGGCTCCGCCTCGAAACGCGTAGCTACCGACCCAGTTTTCACTGCCCTCCAGTGCTCTTTGACCCTCCTACCACTCCCGTCGGCGTTCGTCACTGTACGAACCACCACTCTGCCTCCCGAGCCAACTGACAGGGAGCCGACGTCAAACAGCACTTTAGACACACAGTGCCCCCGGCTGCAACGGCTCAGCCTGGCTAGCTGAGTCCTTGCAAGAGCCAGCTGTCCTTCCATTCGCAGCCCTCGTTTTCATAGGCAGATTATCCACCAGACCACTGGACTCTTCAGGTCTGTATTCACCCAGGGACCCCACTGGATTTCCTCACGCAGATGACTTCTTAAATGTGAGTTCTCCTGTTTATTTCAGCACAGTAGTAGCGCTCTCAATACATTTTTTACTCAGTTTTACCACAAGGCTCCTCTCTCTGTTTTTATATAGAGCTTGCACACTGTAATCTCTGCCCTTATACCACATCCACCACAAGTTTGTACCCCTTGGCAGTGCGCTTGATCTTTTCGTTTTTATCTTGTTTTAAACCCGACAGTACTAAACTTATTTTCAGCGATGGCACTTTGAGGTAAATAAATTGATTTTGCGTCGCAGTTTGGGCACTCTGGTTCAAAAAGGTTCGCCATCACTGACATAGAGGAAAACGTGGAAAAGAGGACTAAAACCTAACATGCAGGCTGTTATAGTCCTGTAATAGAGAAAGAAAACATATACAGAAACACTAAAAGTTGTGATAGAGCATTATGGGCTTTCTAATGAGACCGTATCTGAAGAGGTTTGCCTTACCCTACAGAACAACACAGGTGGGGTGAGGAGGAGAAGTCACTCCTCTGACTCAGTGAGCTGTGTTTGCAAATTGGAGCTTGAAATATTGGGCTTTGCACCCAAAAGGGATTTAGCATAGTCTGTTTAACATAAAAAGGAGCCAAAAGCTCAGTCTACCAGATGAATATTAAAGATTTATGTGCAACCTTTGTACTGACCGGAATAACAATAACTCAAAATATTTTTAAAAATATTTTCCATTTCCAACTTTTATTCCATTTCCTTCTAATGTCAGGCCTACGTACACTACAAAAGAGTTATCCAGCTCCCATTAGTCTCAAAGCGCTAACCAGACTGAACAGGACGTGGTGGCAGTGGTGGGTTAGGGCTTTGTTGGACCTTAGTCTGAAGGTACACTTAACTGGGATTGTTTCAATTCAGACGTTTGGCTTTAAAGGAGAACTATGCGGTAAGTGTTTTCCCCCATAGTTCTCCTAAGGGTCATGGGAGGACATATACTAGCCTCCTCCCGTGACCCAAAGCTCATTATACCGTGAGCTACAGCTCGCGGTATACCGCATTACTGTCGAGATCCACCCAGCTGCGTGAGTGACAGCTGGCTCTGCCTATCTAGAGGCAGAGCCAGCTGTGCCAGCCCCCTCCCCCGTCCGTTCCTCCAGTCAGCGCTGGAGGATCGGAGCGGGGAGTAATCCCTGCAGGGAGCCCTGAGTGACAGTCACGACTCTCTGCAGGGACATGATCGAGAAGTGAGTGAGCGGCGGTACTTGTTCTCTCACTTCCCGATCTATTGAGCCGACATGTGACAGTTTCATTGTCACACGTCGACTCAAACTATGAGGTTGAGTGAAAATCACTAGTTCTCCTTTAAAGTGACACTAAACTCAGGAGTTAATTATTGAAAATGCATTCAAGTACCTTTAACTTTAAAAAAAAATGTAAAATTGCTAAACTAAACCTGAGATTATAGTCCATCACGGGAGTGAGCTTGGAGCGGTGACTACTTTACAGCACACACAGGGACCATGGGGAACACAAGTAGCCCCCCTCCAGAAGGAAGGACAGTGTGGGCATGAAGGCAGAGATGACTTGAGGATCTACAGCCCGAGTGATACACAAATAAAGTACATTTTTGTCAATGGTTGAGGTACTTGAATGCATTTTTAGGATTTAACTCCTGAGTTTAGTGTCACTTTAAAAAGTCATGAGAATAGTATGAGAACCCTTCATTTATTGCCTTGCTTTGTACTAATAGCACCAGGCAAATCCACTTCCTACTCATCTGACAATTCTCCAAGTACTCCAGGAACATATTGGATTCATAAACGCAGCACATTTCAATATGTAAACTGTCCAAGCATGGTAACAAGCTGTGTAGCTGCCCTGCATAATATACTTTGTGTTGCCATAAATGTTCAGCGGAGAGAATAATGATCAAAGAAAATAGGATTCCTGCATGCATTTGTTAAGATTCCTTCTCTCTGTGCATACAATATTCCTTCTCTCTGTGCATACAATATTCCTTCTCTCTGTGCATACAATATTCCTTCTCTCTGTGCATACAATATTCCTTCTCTCTGTGCATACAATATTCCTTCTCTCTGTGCATACAATATTCCTTCTCTCTGTGCATACAATATTCCTTCTCTCTGTGCATACAATATTCCTTCTCTCTGTGCATACAATATTCTGTTCTCCTTTCTACAAGTTATATGGCAGATGACATTTCATGTTCCATAACTTGGTAATGCCAGAATGCACTACCCCTAGTCTGTGTGTAAAAGCAAGTAACAGATTTACCAAATTGTTTTTTTTTTTAGTTCTGTTTTAAAGTGAAATGCAGAGTAAAGTGACAATATAACCCTTGGCTATCAGCGCATGCATTTTTTGCAAACATGTTAAAATGCACATTTTAGACCTAAAGAGTACCTAACCCCCACCCCCCCCCAGAATGATTTATTTTCCTGAAAGCAGAGACCCTGTAGAATAAAGTGGTGGCAGTTGCATTTTTTTTTAATGTCGCACAATATTAGAGCAACTGTTTATAAAACCCACATTTTCAGTAAAAAATACCTTAAAATTATTTTTAGTGCATGTACAGTGTGGCAAATAATTATTTGATCCCCTGCAGATTTTGTAAGCTTGCCCACTTACAAAGAAATGAAAGGTCTATCATTTTTATCCTAGGTGTATTTTAAAAGATAGAGACCGAATATCAACCAAACATCCAGAAAGAACACGATACAAATGTTATAAATTGAGTAAAATAAGTATTTGATCCCCAAGCTACCAACAATAATTCTGGCTCCCACAGACTGGCTATGTGATGCACAGATTAGCCCGGTCAATTTAAGAAGGTGCTCCTAACGACAACTCGTTATGTATATAAAAGGCACCTGTCCACACAATCTCTTTCTTCCATTCAAACCTCACCACCATGGGCAAGACCAAAGAGCTGTCAAAGGATGTGAGGGACAAGATTGTAGACCTGCACAAGACTGGAATGGGCTACAAGACTATCAGCAAGAAGCTGATATAGATTATATCAGCTATATAAGCTTATTTGCAAATGGAAGGAATACAAAATAACCATCAATCTCCCTCGGTCTGTATCCAGAGGGCCACTGAGGATGCTGAAAATCACTTTAGTAGTCCGCGCTGCTTACGGTGACAGCAGTGATTTTCCAGGTGCTGTTCCTGCAGCTTCCCCTCTGCACACTGAACACAGTGAGTTGCTTGCTCAGCACTGCCACCATTCCGAGAACACCTTGTATTTTTTTTCTCAATAAATAGGTGTTCTCTGATTGGATGAGGTGGAAATAATTATGTAATTCTTCCCTCCTCTCCACCTCGTCCAATCAGAGAACACTTTATTGAAAAAAAAATACGAGGTGTCTCGAAATGGTGGTGATGCCGAGTGAGTGACTCCCCGTGCTCATTGTGTAGAGGGGAAGCCACTGGAGCCCCACTTGGAACATCATGACCATTACTGTATGTAGCACAGTGATTTTCAGCATCTCCAGCGACCCTCCAGGTATATCAGCTATGGATACCTACATCGAGCCAAGATGGACCAATGTAAGTTTGGAAAAAAGATCATCCCTGGAGTTCCACTGGATGCTGCAAGCAAACCACCAGTTACTTTCCAGACACTTTCATAAATGAGGTCCAATGGTATGGACATTTGACATGTGGATTAAAGCACCAGCTGAAAGATGTGTGAAAGCCATATTTGATGAACACTGCACTTGTTATACTCACTTGTCCCGCTGTATCATAAAGTCCAAGAAGGTACTGCCTGCCGCCAACAGTAACACTCACTGCAAGAACAAAAACATTGTGTTAAGCTAAAAGCAGAATTCATGAGCCAGTATTGGCGTGCTCTGTAAGCTAATGGGTGGATGGAGGGGGAAGATTTATATGGCTTATCAGTCTACTAATCTTTACTTGCAGAGCAAAGGTGGGGCCATGGCACAGAATTGCAGACACTCAAAATTGCTGTCCCTCCTTATTATACACAACAAAAATATTTTTTGTGTGTGCTATAATGTCCAAATTACTGTCATGTATGATATGTAATATACATTATATAATGTCAAGAGGTTACACAGGGCTGAGAACTCTACCTGCCCCATGTGAAAGTAACGGACCAGTCGCTAAGCACCAGCATTTTCTTAGCAACTGTTGTTCCCAAACACAAGATAACTGGAAACCAAGGAGATTGTAAGTACTACAGCTGGGTGACATAGTGAGCTACAGATGTTCCTAAACAACAGCCCTGGCAGTTAGGTTATGCACCTGAAAGGAGAAGTCTTGCTAAGGGACCAAGTACATGTAGCACTGGGTCCCATCAAAATCAGTCCTGTCATTGCTAAGCAAAATGGTCTGGCAGTTTACCCAAATAAATCACATCACCTGGCAGTACTGAGTGATGTTTTATGAATGAACAAACATCACTGTCGGGGCCGTTACAGCCCAGCAAAGCTGATTGTTCATTCATAATAGTAAAAGGTCAGCACAGAAGCTACAGCCAACATTGACATAAATAAAGAGGTGCTTTTTTTTTAACCCGATGTGGCTATATGTGTTACAGGTATACTGTACTACCGTCACTTCTTACATGTTACTTCAACGGGGCTTAGGACTCAAACAAATGTTTTTATGGTTTCCTGGAAACGGAAGGTCTAGCGTACTACCACTGAGCACCTTCTATATTCCAGTATTGCATTAAAGCAAAACCCCAGGTATGTAGACTGAAATTACCTATACCCACCCCTCCTTTCCCAAAGCCCTTTGCATTGTATTTTTTTTTAAATTTAAAGACCCTATACATATCTTGTTCCTGCAATCTTCTGGCTGGTCCCATGATATCACTGGTCCTTGCTCTTCTTCCTCAGTGGCAGTGAGCCTTCTTTCTGGACTAAACCTCATGTAATGACGTCTGAGCGACACTCAGTCCTGGAGTACTGTCAGCCCAGCCTGCATGATGATGCACCCCCAGGAAGTGTGTCACAACAGCTGGGCTGGGCTCACAGAAATTGGGCAGAATAATGGAATTGCTGTTCTACCCAAAGAGGACTGGCAAAGGTGGACTGGGGATGGGGCTTGTGACAGCACTGGAGTGTGGAGAGGGGCAATTTTCTTTTTTTAATGCCCAAAAGCAAAGCAAACTTTCCAAATATAGTTCCATTTGAAATGGGAAAAACGAGGTGGATTAGCCATTGCAAGTGTTGTCAATGAGTCAGATGACCCATAGACTAAATTGTGCGGGAAAGCAGTAAAGCGCACCAGGAAGAAGAGCCTTTGTATGAAAAGAGCAAATAGTGTTCGCCATGTACTGTTCATATTGTATATACCAAGAACAAGGTTCTTATAACAAACACCTATTGATAAGATTATTCAGATCTCTTTTACATATCTATTACCAACACTGTACATTCCTACTGAGCCAAATCTAAACAGCTGCCACGTTTGTATGGTACTAAGCCGATCATATGAACATTTCATAACATTTTTATTCCCTAAAGTGTCCGACAGACATAACTTGTTTCCCTGCGATGTTGTACTCCCAGAAAAGGCTGTGTGTTAAATGACACCTCTGCTGGCATATAAGCAGCTTGTGCTGACTATCGGAGAAGATTGGCACCGTCTCATACACTTGTTCAGCTATTCTATGACGCTCTGCCAGGCACTGCACGGTATCCCATCCTAATATAGCCTACAAAGAGGAAGTTTAGGCTGAGCCAAGCACAATACAGAGGGCAGATTTTGCCACAACACTCCTCAGGGTCAGGTCATGCTGCCCAAGGAAGTCAATGTTCCAGTAAAGATCACTTTAACAATGTTTGTTTACAATTGTGTTTACAAATAAACATTTATTAAAGGGTGGCTTCATGATACTCACAATGTTACGGCATGCTGGGCTTTCCAATAAGGAAGTCCAGCAATGTGTCTGCATTCATGTTGGTGGTAGCCTGTGTATAACTGACTAAGCCAGTAGGTCCAATCACTGCTAGCAGAGGAGGAAAGACTCAAAACATTGTAAAATGTATAGTGTAGGATTATTCTGTGTATGCTTACGCCATCCACAGACTTCAGTGGGCCAGGCACAGCCTGACCACCTTCAGGGTCAACTGTTAAGGTGCCCATACACTGCACGATTCTCGTACGAGAATCGCGGGAAATCCCGCGATTGTACGAGAAGCGTGCAGTGTATGGAAGGCGTGCAACCGTTCTTACTATACGGTCGCACGACTTTTGTATTTCGAGCATGTTGGAAAACCAGCCGAGAAACAATTTATAAAAAACGTACGATCTGCCGATCTTGGACAGGCAGATCCTACTTGCAATCATCGCAAGCCCGCACCCCTGAGGGGTGGGCATCCGATGACCGCTAGGCTGAACGGGCAGTATGCGCGTGCGCACATCTGCACGTTCGACATTTGTCTCCCGAGCATCATTCAAACCAGCCGAAAATCGTAAGATTTTCGTCTGGTTTCTAGCATGCTCCTTAGACAAAAGACGTGCGACCGTACAGTAGAAACGGTCGCACGCCTTCATTCACACTGCACGATTCTCGTACGATCGCGGGATTTCCCGCGATTCTCGTACAGTGTATGGGCACCTTTACACAGCCGTCCCTAAACCTGCACACCTGGCTAGGTTTATGGCAGTGAAGTGGGGAAGAGCTGGAAAGAGGGTGTAGCTAGAGCTGCTGAGCTGATCACAGGAGGCAAAAACATCAATAAGGATAGATTTTGTCAACATGTGGGAATTGATTATTTCTCTAGACAGCCACCGATGTCCGCAGCCACCCATATATAGGATATAATAGACCAAGCCAGATTGGGAAATGGTCATCTCCGGTCTATGACAACCCTTAACTGAAGACACTATATACAGTATATGGTAACAGACAGTTGTGCACAGATAAGCACAAGCCAAATTTGAAATATACTAAAAAGCAACCGGTGACCATTTTTATGACCAATTCCTTCAAGCTACCTGACCACAGTAGCGTAAAACTTTATATTTGTTAGTATACATCCCCCGAGGCTGTCTTAGTCCAACGATGAATGAAAATTAGAGAAGCTTTAACAGTTGCTTCCCTAAAGTGTATAAACTGCTTCCCTAAAGTGTATAAAACCATAACGATAAACTTCTCCAAATTTCTCATGTCTGTTAGATATACCGCTAACGAGTACAAAAAAAATACCCGCTGATCCTGCAAGAAATTGTGTGCTGTCCTGTGTACTCTGCAGTGTTATCAACCCTGTCCTGTTCTCCTCTGTGGCCTACAGAACATCTCCCTTACATAATAGAGGGGAACTATGCTGTTCCTCCATAGATTGCATATGTTAAGTGAGCATTGTTACTCTAGGACAGGATAGCAAGGCTGTAGGTCATGCCTCATCTGATGTGACGTTTAATTATTTCGTTAGGTGATTATAAACAAAAAAAACTATTAAAGAAAAAAAAAGCCTAAAAAAAGAAAATGAAAGAAAACCAACTTTTCCCAAGCATGATGGCATCCCTACGCTCTACAAATAGAACTATAATACATGCTCAAGGCTGAAGGTCATTCCTCTCTGGGTAATGGCTAATATTAGCATCTGATGGGATTAATTTTTTCCGCATACATTAGGACATCTGTCAGATTTATTACATATCGCAATAACCTGGGTATAAAATGAAGAATGCATAAGCAGAAGATAACTCCAGAGGTCATTTATTTTTCAGCTTTTTAAAGCAACAAAGACTGAGACTCGAGTATGGCAGAAAGGTTTTGGAGTCTGCTGCAGGTTTGTGCACCCCTAGGATCCAGCAAAGTTTATTAAATGCTGGAAAGGCTAGTGATATACAGGGGCTTGGCACTAACCGAGTTGGGCCAAGCCGTGCAAAACCGTAACCGACACACCCCTCCCCTTCTAGTCCATCATTTGTGGTGGGGCAGTCCCCAGCCCTATTGTAACATTTAGCTGCAGGGCAGGGAATGCCCCCACACAACTGATTAGTCCAGGCGGGGGGTGTCAGTGAAAGTTTTGCACAAGCTTGGGTGAACTTGGTTTGTGCCAAGCCCCTGCATATAACTATTTAGTCCCATTACTGTACTGGTATGTGTGGGGCCTCAACATAAGCGAGAGCGTCTCCTCATAACCCACCCCCCTGTGCAATGTTTATTCATCCATCCAAGCTCCCAAGGTGCTTCCCCATTGCAGGGCGCCACCCAGGGTAAGCTTGGGTGTCAACCTGGTGCTCAGGGCCAAGTACTGCCACATGGGGGGGGTCATTTCCATGTACTGGGAAGCTAGGGCAAAAGAGCGAGCAGGTAGGTGGTGACGGAACATGGAATGATAAGTGTACCTTGCTGGCAAAAGATATGGGTGGGCTATCAGGAGGTATTATTACTTTGCCCTGGATGGGCAACATGATGCTGTATTTTTTTTTTTTTGGGTGAAAGATTTACTCCTTTGTCCGGTTTTGACTGCTATCTGTGTTTATGTTCAGAAGATTTCCCCTCACTTCCCACTCTGAGGGGCTGGTGCCATCCCAGAACAGGAATAAGTAAAAAATATCCCTGACAGGGACAAAGATGGCAATAAACATACTTTCAAAAGTAAAGGCCTAGAACCTCGGTCAGGTTTTCAGTGCATTTTGTTTTTAATTGTCGGACTTTAATTGTAATCAGTCAATCAGACAATGACAAAAATGTGTAGAAATTAAATACAATGGTATTATCTTCTCACAGTCTGGGTCACCTGATGCAGCACAGCAACTAAAACACTAAGGCCCCATTCACACTGAGCGACATGGGTATTGCACGTTTTTCCATGCGATTTCGTGCTGAACGGCTTTGAGCTACATTGCGCGATATTGAACGACAGTACACATTTTATCGAGCTGCATAGTGCGTCTTTTGGGCGGGACTTCGTCGCTGCTACATTGGGCTGCAACCAATCAACAGGGATCTTGATGTGGCATCATTCTTTCCTTACATTTTGCATTTTGTGATCCTTCTGCCGCGCGAAGTGGCGCAATATCGCCGGTAATGCGCAATTTCGCACGACACCATTGAGTCTATTGGGTCCGAATCGCACGACATCCGCCGAAAAAAGGGTAATGTACAAGCGACAAGCTTCAGCGATGAGCTACAGGCGACATTGAGCTGTGAACAGCTCCATTGGAATGCACTGGACAAGCTACATAGAGTGATATCGCAGGGAAATATGCACGATTTTGCGGCGGCAATAGCGCGATTAAACGCTCAGTGTGAACGGGGGCCTAAAAAGCTGTGAGGTTCTATTAAATCCAAGCAAACAGCTCCAGCTTGAGAGGTCCCTGCAGTTTCCCGAGCCGTGTCCCAGCAATCCTTGCAGCTAACTAATCACAGGAACGTTCATTTAGGCAGAATTTGGATGAACCCTTTGACAACACTGGTGGCCACGCAACTGCCCAGACAACGTGCGTTACCCCAATAGGCAGTGGTTTTAACTGGCTGTTCGACCAGAGTGCATAGCATTTGGCTTCATCTGGTATATGAAAATGAATGGCCAATATGAGTTTTTTTACAGGGGCAGCCAAGGGGGGGGTGAACATGGACCAGAATTAAAACTTGGCCCAATCTGCTCAACAAGCTGATGTGGGACAACACGCCAGTCCCTGTACAACCATCGCCACATCGTTCATCACTAAAAGACTTATATAGAGGAATTTTCAGTGGTGGGTCTCCATTTTTGCCTGGAATTCAGTGTTAAAGGGTCTTCAATAAGGCTGCACATTTTTCTTTTTCTGCAGGTTGTAGTTTCCTCTGGAGGGTTCCAGGTTCCGACTGGATAATGTTCAGGACTTCTGAGGAAATGTGTTAGGCCCCATCCACACTAAGCGGATTGCCGCGCGATTTCCACCACAATATCGCGCATTTTTGCCGCGCGATATCGCGAGAAGTCGCTGGCCAATGATTTTCAATGGAGCTGTCTTAAAGTACAGCTCCATGTCGCCCGTCGCGGTCGCGAGTCTATAGGAACATTTTTTCGCCAGATTTTGCGCGATTTTTCTTTTTTTTAATGCAGCCCCACGGTGAAGGTCACGCTACCATCGCTGGATTGTCGCGCTATCCCGGCCACGCGGATCCGCTCCAAAAGGTATGTCGCTTAGTGTGAATGGGGCCTTATCAGTGAGTGACATGTAGTTTTCTGAGGGAGCATTGGGAATGAATAACCCTTTCCACTTCCTAACTGCAGACACTAAACTCAGGAGTTAAATCTTATAAGGCGTTCAAGTGCCTATGGCAACCAATCAGCTTCTCTCTTCAGTTTGTTCAGTTAAGGTTTGAGAATGGAAGGTTGATGCTGATTGGTTACCACGCACAGCTACTCCAGATTCTGTCTGCTCCAGTGTGGACCATTTCCCCTCGTTGTCTTCAATCTAAAAAAATAAGTCAGCGGCTCCCAGTAAGGCCTCATGCACACACAATGCAAGTGCAAAATTGTATATTGCGCATATACATGTATATGCGCGTATGTGCTTGCACTGCATGCAATCCCAGAATGCATAATTCTTAATAGAGATTTCAATGTACTGTACTTGCGTATACGCGCGCACACATATGCATATATGCGCGTACGCACACAAAATACGCAGAAATACGGAGCCCGGACACATCTCGGGTCCATTTTCGGTTTGCGTATCTTTACGCATCACAAATATACGGCTCCATACGCAGCGTATTGTACACCAGTGTAAATGAGGCCTAAAAGATGTAGAGCAACACTTTCCTTTCCGGCAGCCGGTGTGTTGACTTTTCGCTCGGGGTGCCGCTATCATCGGACACTTCCTGGTTTGTCAGATATTGTGTTCCCCGCTGCGCTCAGTGGTTCCTCCCGCTAACTATTGTGTCCTGTAATGACAATGCAGCTAGCGGGCAGAACCACAGCACCCAGCGGGGGGGACACGATATCCAATATACCCGGAAGTACGGTATATGAGCCATAATTTAACAGATCGCCCGGCGTAAAGAAAAGTATGAAGCGTCTTGTTTTCTATTGCTACACAGGGATGGAGACTCGAGGCAGAATCTGAAACAAGGGAACTCTCAGCAACTGAATGCTCACCAGTCATATAAGAAAAAAATATAAGAAATAACTTTCATATCAACATTACAATTTAAAGGGAAATTCCGCGACTTGGAGGATCGGGTGAGTACAACATTGTTATTTTCCTCCCCAGACCCAAACAAGCAGTGACAAGCAGTTGGTATATCTATAATGGATTGTACAAAGATTGTAACATGTATGGTGAGGCCAAGAGCATTAACACAGCAATACTATGCTGCTTTCCCCTGCAAGGGAGCAATGCCGTAGGAGAAGGAGCGTCCCTGCTGAGCCATCCTCACTGCCAGCAACAAGATCACAGGATGGCTCTTTACCTGCACATGAAAGCTGACTTCTGATTGGTTGCTGGGTGCAGCGCAGACACCACTTATTTTCCCTATTGCAGAAGATCGCAGTGGGTTTTTCTGACATTTGCACCACCATCTAACTTCCCACAACGCTGACTCCCCGATTGTATGGAATCCTCCTCACGGAGAGGAAGAAGCTCCACTTGCTGATCTCACAGTCATAATACAAGTGGCATCATCGTTATCTCTATGGATGAGTCCAACGCTTTCCAGGAAAGGACAGGGAGGGGCCAGAGAGCAGACAACACAACCATTGTGTACAGGAGAGGGATGTCGGGGAAAGTAGGGTCAGCTGACCATTGCTAGGAAACCGTCTCAGCACCGGAGCAGCAGTAGGACCATGACCAGGACTGCCAGCAAAAGCTACATGGCACAGGGACACCTCATGGCCCCGAAGTCTGGGAAGCCTGGACTGCTGATCGGGCAACCCCAGGCACTTGCCAACGCTCTTAACCTTTGCTAAATCACGTTTAGCAGTGTCAGTTAAATTGTCAATAGTTCTAAGAGTGATTTGTTATTGTTAGACATCGGGTCTGAGAACTAGAAACACGCAGTTGTGCGCTCCGGATTCTCTCTGGCAAGGTTAATTACCCTTATGAAGTCAGGGATAAGAAAATATTGTCTAAATACAAGAGCCATGTGTATTCGTTCTTGAATCTTGGTGTGCTTTGTGGATTTCTTCCAGATCTGTGCAGAATTTGGCATGAAAAAACTCCTATAAATTGCCTGTTCAGGGACTTCCTGTAATAAAGACTAGTCACTGCTGCTCTCTCTCCTCATGCAGGGTAACTGGTCTTGTGTCCACCCCCTCCTGTAATAAAGACCATTCACTGCTACTCTCTCGCCTCGTGCAGGTGACTGGTCTTGTCTCCACCCCCTCCTGTAATAAAGACCGGTGACTGCTACTCTCTCGCCTCGTGCAGGTGACTAGTCTTGTCTCCACCCCCTCCTGTAATAAAGACCAGTCACTGCTATTCTCTCTCCTCGTGCAGGGTGACTGGTCTTGTCTCCACCCCCTCCTGTAATAAAGACTAGTCACTGCTGCTCTCTCGCCTCGTGCAGGAGCTCTACTTATCAATTAATAATTGCCAACCTTAGTGCTGCACATGTGTCCAGATACATGCCAGTCACTGGTCCTCCTGGCAGTGACCCCCCCCCCCATCAGATCATTGCTCACTCTGATTGGTTAGTCTTGGTTTGGGCACACCACTCTCTTCCATCCCACATCTGTTGCTCCGCTGACCTTAGCAAGTTGGGTCACCCGCTGGGAAAAGTGTAGTGAAGTCCCTGGCGGCACCGACCGCCCCTGTCCAGCAGAGGTCACCCTGCTCCCCGCTGCTGCAGAACCTCTTGGCCAGCTGTGTTGCTGAGTTGATTGACAGCTGTGTGTCTCTGGCATCTGCAGCAGTACTTATGATGTCATGGATTGCTCCATCTTCTGAAATGAAAATCCAACTCCTTGCCTCCCCTCCCCTCCCTGTGCCCCCATTGTTTTGTACGGAGGTAAAAGTGTGGACTTACCTGCATAGTGGTCGAACACGGTGGGCACATACTCCTCCGGGAAGGCGTCGTTGGCATAGCTCATGAGCAGGCAAGTTTTGCCCACCGCCCCGTCGCCCACCACCACGCATTTTAGCATGCTATTGCCGGTGCCATTCGCCATGGATCCTCATCTTAGCGAGTGTGGCCGGGGAGAAAGGCAGGACGGGCGGACACTCCTCTCCCAAAAGTGGCAGCCAAGTGCCCCCCCCTCCCCCAACTTCGGAGGGCACAGCACTTTCCGGCTTTGCAGTGTCAGCCTCGCTCGGCTGGGAGGGAGACACACAGCACAGGCTGTGAAGGTGCCGCCTAAGGGACCGTCTCCAAAGTGCTGCCTGCGGGAGGAGAGGAAGCTCAGCTCTGCCACATGTCACTGCTGCCGGGGCTGCCTGCCTTCTGTGGGCTGCCTGCTTGCTGTGAGCTGCCAAGCTGTCCTCTCAGCCTGCCTGTCTACTACATGCTGCACGGCAACAAAGTCTGACCAAGCTCTGCTGGGATCGCAGCAGACTGCTGTCCCTGATTTCTGGAGAGAGGTGCAGGAAAGAACTGCAGAATTTGGTTCTATAGCAGTGTTCAGTAGAGTGTCCCTGTTCTGGAACTGAACCCCTCTCTCCTGCACAACTGTCCTTCCTCTGGGTTCAACCCCCTCTACCTTTCTTTCCTCCACAACTGTTCTTCTAGATCCAAACCCTCCCTCATCCACAACTGTTCTTCTAGATCCAAACCCTCCCTCATTGACAACTGTCCTTCTAGATCCAAACCCTCCATCATTCCCTAATCCACAATTGTCCTTCTCCTAGATCCAAACCCTCCATCATTCCCTCATCCACAACTGTCCTTCCAGATCCAAACCCTCCATCATTCCCTCATCCACAACTGTCCTTCCAGATCCAAACCCTCCATCATTCCCTCATCCACAACTGTCCTTCCAGATCCAAACCCTCCATCATTCCCTCATCCACAACTGTCCTTCTAGATCCAAACTCTCCATCATTCCCTCATCCACAATTGTACATCTAGATTCAAACCCTACATAATTCTCTCATCCACAACTGTCCTTCTATTCAAACCACTATGCCCTTCTCCAAAACTGTCCCTTTAGAATTCAAACCACTCTTCCCTGATTTCTTTAATTGTCCCTCTTCTGCACACATACACTTTTGCCCTTCACTTCTCCTCAGTTGACCTTCTTCTGGAGTCAAACCCTCTGCCCTTCTCTCCTTCACAACTTTCCTTCCTCTATATTCAAACTCCTCTACCCTTCTCTCCTCCACAATTGTCTGTCTTTCTAAATTTAAACCCCTCTGCCCTATTCTCTTCCATTTGTCTTTCTAGATTTAAACTCCTCTATTCTACTGTCCTCCACAATTGTCCTTCTAGAGTCAAACCCTCAACACTGCTTTTCTCCACAACTATCTTTATAGATTCAAATCTCTATGTCTTTCTCTCCTCCACAACTTTTCCTCTCCGGGATTCAAATACCTCTGTCCTACTCTCCTCCAAAATTGTCCTTTCTGCATTCAAACCCCTTGGCCCTTTGCTTTGTCTCATTTGATCCTCTTCTAGATTCAAACCCTTTATCCTTCGCTCCTCCATAAATGTATCTCTGCCAGATTCAAAGAATCTGCCGTGCTCTCTCTAAACTGTCCTTCTTCTAGATTCGAACCCCTCTACTCTTCTCTCCTCCACATTTGTCCTTATAAAGTTAAAACCCTCTGCCCTTCTTCCCTCCACCACTGTCCTTCTAAATTCAAACCACCTCTGACCTTCTTCCCTCCACAACTGTCCTTCTAAATTCAAATCACCTCTGACCTTCTTCCCTCCACCACTGTCCTTCTAAATTCAAACCACCTCTGCCCTTCTTCCCTCCACCACTGTCCTTCTAAATTCAACCCACCTCTGCCCTTCTTCCCTCCACCACTGTCCTTCGAAATTCAACCCACCTCTGCCCTTCTTCCCTCCACCACTCTCCTTCTAAATTCAACCCCCCTCTGCCCTTCTTCCCTCCACCACTGTCCTTCTAAATTCAAACCCCCTCTGCCCTTCTTTCCTCCACCACTGTCCTTCTAGAGCCAAAACCCCTCTGCCCTTCTTTCCTCCGTCACTGTCCTTCTAGATCCAAACCCCCTCTGCCCTTCTTCCCTCCACCACTATCCTTCTAGATCCAAACCCCCTCTGCCCTTCTTTCCTCCACCACTGTCCTTTTAGATCCAAAACCCCTCTTCCCTTCTTTCCTCCATCACTGTCCTAGATCCAAACCCCCTCTGCCCTTCTTCCCTCCACCACTGTCCTTCTAGATCCAAACCCCCTCTGCCCTTCTTCCCTCCACCACTGTCCTTCTAAATCCAAACCCCCTCTGCCCTTCTTCCCTCCACCACTGTCCTTCTAGATCCAGAACCCCTCTGCCCTTCTTTCCTCCATCACTGTCCTTCTAGATCCAAACCCCCTCTGCCCTTCTTCCCTCCACCCCTGTCCCTCTGCTAGAGCTATCCAGTCTCAGAAAGTTGTGAAGTATTATGATAAGCTGACCACACAATTTTTATTTACAATCCAATTAATCCAAGAAATACATGCAGACGTTGAATAATGGCAGACAATCCAGTGTTGATTGGAAAACAGACCTCACTAAAACATATTTCTGTGGTTGTTTGAAAAGTATCACCGCAGCTATCACCATAGTGCTTGCAGCTGCATACTGATTGGCGCAGGATAGTGTAAAGATTTATAGGTATTAGGGATGGACCAATACGTTTTTTCTGGTATCAAGTACGAGTACCGATATTATTTTTTTGGTACTGGCCAATACCGTAAGTCCCATTAAGAAAGCCAGGCGGCGTGTAATGACTCGCCACCTGGTTTCCTGATTAGCCGGGAAGCCGGGCAGGATGTAAAGACTCACCACCTGGCTTCCCGATTAGCCCTTCGTTAAAGTACAATTGAATTGTATATAAAAATTCTCAAGGATCATCCTCTGCGGTGGGAAACATCTAGAGTAAGGGAGACTCGGGACATTGGAGAATGGTAGAGGTTGGTCCTGGACACTTGAGGAGTTTGAACAATTCACAAGGTACCTTAATCACGTCATGGGCTATATTCAGTGTTTCTTATCTATTAATATATCTGGTCACTTTCTCTTAGGATGATTTTCTGAATGGATTAACTGTATAATTTAAACATTGATACTAATGAGGATGATCCTTGATAATTTTTATATACAATTCAATTATACTTTAACGAAGGGATTGAAGTGACATAGATGGTATTTGGATGAGATACATTGACTGGTGTGGATACTGTTATGGATATAGAAGTATCTATTGTGAAGGCCAATTGTATCGAACTTTAGTTTGGATACATTTACTCATTGATTTAGTAAGGCTCAGAGAAGCTGTTTCATTGTATCTTATATTCAGGTGGTTTTGCTATGCTAGATGCAATACATTGTATTCACATGAAGTTATACATAGGAGAGCATTGGTTTATAATTTAATCTTGTAGGTCGCATAAGGACAGATAGAGATGCCTCCTCTTCCATACATCCCCTGAGTTATCCCTGCTTCTCTTCTCCTGGCGGAGTGGAGCGACTCCCCTAGATGCGAATCTGCTCGTCCCCAGAAATCTTATACATGGTATTTATGTATTTATCTCATTCATTGATCTATGTCAGTTAATGTATGTATGGCTAATTGCTATTTTCAACTATTTGAGTGCTCACTATAATATTCATATGGATTCTACAGGCCACCTCTATAAACTTCTTGAAAAAGCTACGGCGAAACGCGTCCAAGAATGGAAAAGTACAGATTTTTGATTGGAATATTTAATAATATGAAATGATATAACAATATGTTGACTGATCTTAAAAATTATATATTGACTGATCTAATTTATTATGAATTTACAATGAAATCAAGAGTGTTAATTATTGCTATTTTGCACAATATCAATCTGTACGGATTCCTAGAGGTGACATGCTGTTTATATGTATAATGGTCCTGCTTTTAGATGTGTGGTATGTCTTTTATATGCAACTTTTTGCTAATCATGAAATGATGTTTTTAAATATGAATTTTACTATACAAGAATGAGTCATGTGACATTATGTCTAACTGCATTTCCTTGCATTGTTTATGAGTCACCTACAAAGCCCCGTTTATTTCTTTTTGGTATTTATAATTATATTTTGAATAGTGAGAAAACAATAATTGACTACAGGTAAATCCGGTGAGTCTTGAATAATACCCGAGGATTGTCTTATGGTGCTATAAAGGTGTTTTCTTTTTAAATACAACTATTTCATCTATTTTATTTCTTCCCTTTTCTAGCAGTACTATAAGAGAAACTAGTCTAAGTTGAATGAGAAATTGTAAAGGTAGTATGACAGTAAAGTAGAAAAGGCAGCAGAAAGTTATGTGACTGACACACACAGGGTTATTCACAAAAGGGTGAAGAGTTTGGAGAAGGCAGGAGAAGTAAACAATCTAGGCCAAAATAGCTGATTTGGAAACATTCTCCAATTCATCTCACTTTCCAGTTTAGCTATGTTGTCCTAGATTGTTCACTTCTCCTGCCTTCTCCAAACTCTTCACCCTTTTGTGAATAACCCTAGCAGTATGTGAGTGAAATAAAACCAGAGCCTGGGGTAAAAAGCCAACAGAAATATGATTGCCTCCTGTAAAGAATTTATTCAAACACACCCAACTCCCCCAGTCCCTAAAAAAACATTTTCTCTCTTGCTATATGATACTTATATACATACATGCATGTGTTTCTCCAGTCCTCATTCTCGTATGTATAATGCCTACATATGTCTTAAACCAGTTGTAGCACAGCAAATGTTAGCCAAAAAAAGTGAATCAAAATACATTTTTGCAGATGCCTGTAGAGACATATAGGGGAAAGCAAAAGCAAATGCAAAGTCTCCTTTACATATTGCTGAACCTGCTCGTCAGCTGTAGTCCTATTGTGATTTTAGGTGCTACTCCTATAATAGGAGTGTTACAGTTTACCTTATCAGATTCTTCTATTACTTTTTGAAATAAACAATTTTTGTAAGTACACTTTATACAATCCTCATATCTTTTGTAAACTGTAAGATTTGACTTTTTGAGGGAGAACACTGCACTATAAATACGCATTATAAATGAAAAGGGATTTATGAAAAGAATGA